CGCAAGCACGGCGAAATGCTGCCGAGTACTATACGCGCGATCATTTGTAGCCCGTCGAATTGCGATAAACCAACGTTCTCATAAGCTTACTCGAGAGCCCGAACGGTGTACGTTTCGAGAACGTGTACGTCTATTCGAAATCGTTGCAACAGCCAAAGTATCGATATCTCGAAAATTTGTTTACGTCTATCGACGAAATCGGCTACTTAACGTTCTCCAACAACAGTGACGTCGTTCCACCGAGTGAGGCGCGCTCAAATTCTATTTTTATCTTTGATGACGTGGCATACGACAAGCAGGATGCGGTGAGAAAATACTTTTCGATGGGTCGCCACGCGAACGTTGACTGCTTCTATCTCTGTCAGACGCGAGGATACCTAAACATCTGATACGCGACAACGTGAATCTTCTGATCCTATTCAAACAGGACGGTACCAACTTGAAACACGTTTACAACGATCATGTAAATACCGACATGTCGTACAACGAATTTTGCACGTTGTGCCACGCCTGTTGGTAACAAAAATATGGATTCGTAGTGATAGACAAAGACAGTGCGCTCACAAATGGACGATACAGAAAAGGATTTAACGAGTTCGCGATACCGTAACGTGACCAGCCGTTGTCGATTCTTAGCCACAGACGAACATGGCAGATGTGCGCGTGAAAAAATTGCGAGAGCGATCGAGAAGGCGAGCGAGTCGATCCGCAAGAAACATCGCGCTCTGAAGACCGGTAGAATCGAGGAGGACATCGCATTGAACAGACGTTTTAAGCCTCTTATCGAGCCGCTGCGACTTTTCGTCGACAGCCCCGGCATGCGCGCGACAAAGAGAGAGTCGCGCGACGAAGATACAGCGTCTGCCCATAAATGCGAGAGGAAAGAGGAAGAGGAACAAGAGGAGAGAGAAGAAGCGAGCAAGACGTTCGAGCGTTCCACGACTCTGCATAAATTCAATGATCGATCGCAGGATGATGTACAACCAATAACCTCCACCCCGTGTGCCAAAATCGTACCAACGATAGAAGCGTTGGAGAACGTTTTCGAAACGACGGAAGACTCGCTAGCGACGAAGATTCAAAATCAGCTGCAAACGTCGGAAGGTCAAGAGACGTTACGAGCTGGTTTGGGCCCACTGGGTTAAAAGTACGTCGAGGCCGTCCTGAGGAGAGCGCGAGATAAAGAGAGCGGTATAGATCGCGTGTACGGCATTTACCTACACAAGAATGGGCTGATGTTTGGCAATAAACGTTTCGACGTGGATGACGCGGACAACATAATTATCGACGGCGTACGATACGCCGGTTCACCAGGTCTTTACGAGTTGATTTTCAAGAGAATTCCCGACGATGCCCTCTACACGGAAGACGATATGCACAAGTACATGAGCATGCTGTTGGTGACGAACGCGCACAAACACAAGTACCATTAACAGGGTCGAGCAACAGAGGATACAAGTACAAACACGTAATCGCACCGTTGATGTCGATCAAGAAACAGAAGAAATCTGGAAAGGGATTACTTCACGCAATGGCATTGAACGATAACGCGATCGATTACGTGCACTGGGATGATCCCAACGAGCTAATGGATCATCTACGATTGCTCGACGCTTCGCACCGAGCAGGCAACAACGCTCACGGCAACGAGATGCTGTTGATCATCGAGGAACTTCGCGAAGCCGGTCTTATTATACTAATTAAATCGCGTATTCATAAAACGAGTCAGTCGAGTGACACCAGCGAGAAAAATACAATATTAATTTCTTGTACTCTGTGTATTACACGTCGAATCATGAAAAAAAAATCCGATGGAAAGAGAGAAAAAATTAGCTCCGAGAAACGTCGGCTCGTCGAGGAATTGCACGCTCCGGCGAGAAGAAATTTTCCGCGAAGGCGTGTCATAGTCCGGGGGTACGCCGATCTGTGGCAGGCTGATATCGTTGAGATGCGCCCGTACTCGAGTTTCAATAGAGGCTACCACTACATATTCACCGTCATCGATGTGTTGAGCAAGTACGCATGGGCCGTTCCGCTCAAGAGCAAGGGTGGAAGCGAGACGGCTAACGCTATCGCTAAGATCGTTCGAGAGAGCGAAAGATGTCCGAAAAATTTACAAACGGATATGGGGAAAGAATTTTACAATGCAGATGTACAGAATATCTTGAAAAAACACAACGTTAATCACTATTCCACGTATTTGACGTTGAAAGCGTCAGTGGTCGAGCGGTTCAATCGCACGCTTAAAAATGACATGTGGAAGATGTTTACACTCAACGGCAATTACAAGTGGGTCGACGAGCTGCCGCGTCTGGTGTCAGATTACAACGCGCGCAAGCATCGCACCATCGGCATGCGACCCGCTGACGTAACTTCTGCGATCGCCGAAAAACTCTTGGGCACAGTGTACAGTGCGATAAAGATAGCGGGTCCTGCAAAATTCAAAGTAGGTGATTCGGTACGCGTGAGCAAGACGATTTTTGAGAAGGGTTACACACCAAATTGGACCACCGAAGTGTTTACGATCGTTAAGGTGCAGCGTACCAATCCCGTAACTTATCTACTCGAGGACTATCGTGGAAAATCCGTCGCTGGAGCGTTCTACGAGCACAAGTTGCATCGCGCTACTCATCCAGACGTGTATCTCATGGAGAAAGTGTTGCGCAGGAAGGGCGATAAAGTGTACGTTAAGTAGCTGGGATTCGATGGATCGCACAATTCATGGATACACAAAAACAATGTTATTTGATAAATTTTTAATTGATTTATTTTGTATACATATAACAATATAAGAATATAAACGTGTAAAATATTTTTTTTTTATTATCCTTTCCATTTTTAGAGTATACAGATATAAAATATGTATATAAATGTACGATATATGAAATGAAAAATAACAGTAATACATAACAAATGATACCACATAAAACATAATAGTAATACTTATATAAAACATAATGCGTAAATTATAATGATAATAGTACATAATAGTAACAGGTATATAGATTGTACGAGAATATTTAAAAAATGTAAAAAGACATACACAAAGTACAAATTAAGATAATACATAAAGCATAATAATAATAATACATATACGCTGTATGAAAATATAAAAAATGTAAAAACATAATAGTAATATAAATGTTGATATGTACATATTATATATTACAAAGCGCGTGTCCTGCAATTTTTCGGCACAGTCAACGTACTCGTACGGAAAGACACCTTTACGAGTCAGTAATTCAAATTCATCATCCGATAGTGTTGAAAATTTTGAACGTATAATTTTTAATTTGTCTTTATCGAGATACGACGCTAATTTATCGAGACTTGTACTAAGAAATTTGAAAGAATCAATAAAACGTAATTTTACACAATTTCTTTGAGAATTATTTTCAGTTTTATCTTTAGTGCTATCGACATGTTTTGTGAAGGAGATGTATTTTTCTTTGGTTATCGATAATACATCTACGTGTCCTTCATATGCTGTAGCGATTTCCTTAATTATAAAATGCGCGTCGTAGCCCGATAAATTGTGAAAAACGATTGGAATATATAATGAATTTTTATAATTTAAATTACAGTTTGAATGCGCTGGACCGCGGTATCTACCGGTTAAGTGGTAATGATCGCGTACCCGCGTATCGTCCGACGCGAACGATTTCTCGCAAATGTGACAACGCGTCGCGCTACGGTACGCCTCCCATTGTTCTTTCGACAACGTTTCCATGGGCACGTTGGCGGATACGATATTTTTACGCGATGTGCCAAATCGTTGAGTTGTCGCGCGAACCACGTTATACAATCTTTATCGCGACGGAACTGATTCGACGATAACGCGTCATCGTACGAGCAACGCACGTAGTAGCCTATGCTGAATACCTCATGCCGTTGATACGCGTACATCTTCCCTGTCGGGTTCCGTCTTCCGTAAAACGCACTCCAGGTCGACGTAGACGACGAATGGAACGCGCTCCTTGCGGAGGTTCCCAAATTCGAGCCACTTTTTGTCCTCGCTCGGCAGTCGAATAGCGCAATCGTTGATCTCCTGACAGTCCATTGTGTACGACTGCAATTTCTCATTCGTGCTGAAGTAATGCAAGCATCTGAAAAAAACAAAAAATTATAACAGTTACCTATATTTTATTAATAAGATGAGAAATTATAATAATTTTTTCATGTGTACTTACCGGTCGCAGAAATATTTCTTGTTCTTTTTCCTAGTAATTTGTGATCTCACGAGATGCGACAGGTTCTTGATCCACGCAAAGTGGCCGACACCGTCGTCGCGTGGATCTTGCATGTACAGGAGATTGACATGCTCATCCTTCTTGTCACTGGTGAGCCGCAGAGGAAGAATTTGTTTATTCTCGGTGCCGTATACATTGATTGACACCGCGTTCAACCGTTCGAATTTCGGAATGTCTTTGAACGTTATCAGAAATTCGATACCCGCGAGATTCAGCACCTCCGTATAATGCGGATACGATGACTCTCGCTCCATACTTTTCAGCCGGGTACAGAGCGGCGACCACTGACCACGTGAAGCACGCATTGTCCGTCGTTCTAACATTGATCACCGCTCGTTTCGTCGCTATTTCCCGCGGCACCTCGAAGTAACATCTCGCGCGCATGGGATTTAGTTTGTTCACATTCACTACCAAATTGAGGATTCGCGACAATGCCCACCCGCTGTCGCGTTCCTGGAACTCTTCGAGTGATGTCAACGTGGGTTCGATGATATGCTGCTCGTACCACTCGCGCAAATCGGTGTATCGGTATATCTCGCGGTTCTTAGTGTTTATACTCTTAATGTCGCGTTTGATGTTTGTCATAAAGTCGCCGTTGAACGCAGTGTTCACTTTTGCACTATCATGTCTTTCTACGGCGTCTCGCACACGTTCGAGCACTATTTCTCTCGCGTTTTCCAAAAACCGCCGCGGCTCGATGTAATCGACGTTGACCACAGCACCCGTCAATATACTTTCAAACGCGGCGTCGATCTATCGCCGGACAAGAGATCTTTCGTCGCGACTCGCGTACCCACCACCAACGTGCACGAAACGTCGCTCTAATTGTGTCTTTGCACCCGTGAGTCGCGCGATCCTCGCCACCATGGATTGTCTGTGTCCAACGGGGAGGCGCGGACGCTTGGCACGACAAAATTCTTCGAGCCGCTCGATGCACTCGTCACATCGTTGCAGCCACGCGAAACATTCCACCAGAGTAGCGACCTGGCTGCACTACTCCAACAGTTCGCGTTCCACTCGCTCGTGATTTTCCATTTTTTCTTTAGATCACGTCACACTCTTCCACGGAGCACTTGCACGTGACTCGTTCATACACGCTACAGCATTGCGACATATCTAGAAAATCATAATGTTCTAACACTTTTTTATTATGTTTGTTTGCGAAAATGCATTGTTCACTCAAAGCATTGATCGTCGTATCTGTCGAAAAATAGTTTTGGTGCAAGATCGCGATCACGAAACTCCATCCATATATTGTCAATAATCAGCAATTCGACGCACTTTTCCCTACTTGCAGGAATCTTAATGCAGATGCACCAACCTTGGCTCTTATCTGCGATTTTCTTCGCCCAATAATAATCGTCCTTTATTACATTGACATTTCTATTCCACCAATGCCTCTTTTCATATTCATTATCTTCGTAACATTTGTCTCGTAACCGTAGATACACTTTCTGTCGCACGAGTAAAGACCAGTCAGAAACGGGCTCTCTGATAACTGTTCCATGTTTCTCACCACGTATACTTAATTCACGATCGCGTAGGAATTGCACTGACGATATTCGTGCACCTATATCTCTTTTTTGCAGATTACCGAGAACATACAACACATCATTTACGTTAGAGTCTTCCCACATATTTTTCAATAGTGTCTCGTTCTAATGTGCTCGACTACGTTGACTATGTCCTCAACGTTCGCACGATCACGATGATCACCCATACTTTTTTTCCACTATTCTTGCGTTCAATTCGTTCGTCTTCCAGGGCACCAACTGCGGAACTGAGCGCTTATAACTCATTATATATTTCATTTGTGACTTCTTTGTCCCTTTGCCTATTGGGTCATACTTTATTTAAAAGTAGATAAGGCAGCATTGCGAGCGATTATAGTTTATATAAACAGTATCAACGCTTCTTTTAACGCGTCACTACATGTCATCGATCTCTCTCGCTATCTCTTCTCAGAAAAAAATCGTTATCGACACTTCTTCGAAGAAATTTAAGGATTGTGGTAACGCAGTGTGTTTTCATACTTTTCACTGGAGTATCACTTTCATTTTACTGTAGAAGAGTTATGTTTTGCTTAGCAGCCAAACATCGCGCTTCTCTTAACGCGTCGCGATGTGGCATTGATCTGATAGTGTATATAAACAGTGTATATAACTTTTTTCTTTCAATCGTAAATTTCGATTACGAGTGATAAGACATGGATCGTGTAAAAGAATATACATCGAAAATCGATCGAGCGCAAGGGGTACCATCCCTTGTCACCAGTTCCGCCAAGTCCACCACCATCGAGGGAAAAAGCGCGATATTGAGAATGTTCAGGTGAAAAAGCATCAAAATCGCCAACATGTTCCTCATCGACATCATCAAAATCGCCAACATGTTCATCATCATCATCAACGTCATCAATGCCATCAAAGTACTTATAAGCCATAGCTAGTGATGTTCGAGCCGTCGATTGCATTCGAACGCTGTCGATCGCGAAAAAAATGTAATAAAATATGAGAAAAAACACGATGTAATAACATGTGAATAAAAAAATTTTCATCCATATCATTTTATATATGTACTTTATTTTTTAGTCTCCATTCATCCATCCATCCTATACCTCGACGCGCTAATAAAAAACCGTATTGAAAAAAACTACGTCATCAAAAAAGATGACTCCCTATACAGCTACTGGAATCATAACAGAGAATTACATCAGAAGATTAAAACATTATTAAATTTAACTCTCTTGCTTTCTATTCACCCTGTAAATTCATAAGCGATTGAAAAAAATTATTTTACCATCTAGTAACTTGCGAGTATTGCGTTTTTAATTTTATGTAATTTCTTTTTAGTAATTTTCTTATGTAATTTTATTTTGATACTATTATAACACCTTCGGACTAGCGATTTTTGCTTAATTAAAATAGAGGAGAGGAGCCCGCATAGGATAGCACCCCAGATCAACACCCGGTTCTGGCTGCCCCCTTCCTCCTATCACGGCAAGTGCCTAAGACGGTCCCGAGCTCAGGGACGGTCCAGGGTGAGTCCCTGCACCACGACAAGGTTACGACATGCACGGGGGATTGTTAAAACATTGTTGTTAAATAACTTAACTCTAAAAAATGTATTAAATTTGATAATCAATTTCGACTCAAATTTAATTTATTATTTACAGACATTAATATGAAAACTTTGAAACTAATAAATAGATTGATTTTGACACATTAAAGTTAAAAATAACAAAATGCCAATAAATGTAAGGGATAGGGTTGCCCTTTGATATCGGCGACAATATAACATAATTGATGTTTTATAATAATGTTTTAAATTTACTCATTTATTTGATAAAATTTATACAAATGTCCGAACTGTCAAGAATGGTAGTATATATTTAATGTTTATTAAATTATTTATTTTAATTAGGTTTTGCAATTTATATTGCAAATAAAACAGACAGAGGTAAAATTTGGCTTGGGACATTTCTGCTTTGGATATAATTTTA